TTCCTTTAGTCATAGTAGTCTTTTGCAGTGTGGCAGTCTTAAAAACATCGAAGCTAGTAACTTCGGCACTCAGACGAGTTGAAGGAGTAGCAGCAGTAGAATTAATGATGGTGGTTGTGACTGTTTTCCGTTTTCCCACGCGATGGCTGTTGGAAAAACTAGCTCCTAAGCAACATGTTGACTCGAAAGCTGAGCTATTTTGGTCACGTTAAGCGCCGTGGTAGCCTGGAAAGAACGGTAATGGTGGGTGCAGTATCCAGAAAACAGGGCAGAGGAAGACCTTCGCGACTGGATGAGATACAGGGAATGGGAGATGCATTGGCTTTAAAAGAGCATTAGGCTGGAGAACTGGCTAGAGATAGAGAGACTTTCAGGCTTTTTCTGCAAAGAACCTGTTGGTTGATGATGAAAGAACGACTAGAGCAGCGGTTCTCAACCTGTGGGTCGCGACTCCTTTTGGGGTAAAACGACCCTTTAAAAGGGGTCACCTAAGACAATCGGAAAACAAATATTTACTGAAGTTATGGAGTATCAACGAAAATAATTTTATGGCTGATATATCTATATCGCTTTTGTTACTGTTACACGGAGGACTTTCATGCATCAAATTCTGTATGTTCTGATTTTGTGAGGATGTTTTACCCCATGAATAGTGATTTGTAAAGCCTTGCAAAATCCAAATATATGGCCACATGACACGACGATGCTGATTGTCAAGCACTATACTTCCTGGGACAGTCACAGGAGAGTGAGGGGATGGGAAAGGAGAACGCCAAAGATGTGCTGCACAGATAACATGGACCGGAAAATCCCATGGAGAAACTGGAAGGTTGTCAGGGAACAGACACGCCTGGAAATAAATGAAGAGTAATGAGAGTTGGTGTCCTCAGACAGTTCATAGTTTATGTATGGAGACAAAGAAAGACAACTTGTCTTTAGAACATCAAACATCAGGAAACTAGTATGGTTTCTCAGTATGTGGGTCTGGTTGGTTATACGGTAAAGATTACAGAATGGATCGGTTTAAAAAAAATAACGCTAATATGATTGAACTGGGTCGGTTAAAGGGTAAATCTTACAGTGGGTCGATTAAAGGGTAAATTGGTCTCCAAAGCATCAAACATTAGGGAACTTTGGGGTTTTTTAATGTGTGGGTCGCTTAAAGGGTAAAACTTATACGATTGGGTCGGTTAAACTATAAAGTTTGTACGATTGGGTCGGTTGAATTGTTTGTACGATTGGGTCAGTTAAAATGTGACGCTTATACGACTGGGTCGGCTAAAAGTTAAAGCGCGCACAGATGGGTCGGTTAAAGCTTAAAGCTTATGCGTTGTGTCAGTTAAAGGGTAATGCTTGAACAGTTGAGGCGGTAAAATGTGAAGCTTGTACCATTTGGTCAGTTGAGGGATAAAGCCTGTACGATTGGGTCGGTTAAGGGGTAAAGCTTGTATGACTCGGTCGGTTAAGGGATAAAGCTTGTACGATTGTATCGGTTAAGGGATAAAGCTTGTACGATTGGGGCGGTTAAAGGTTAAGCCTTGTACGATTGGGTCGGTTAAAGGTTCAGCCTTGTACGACTATATCGGGTAATGGTTGAAGCTTATAGACTGTCGCTTCTTCTTCTTCTTAGCGTTCACCAGTTGTAAACTCCGATGTAAGGTTCTAGCTGTTCGTCTACTTCTGGACTCCAGTCCTGTTACAGAGCCTGAATGTTGCGTGCAAAAGCTTAAAGCTCATGCGATTCGGTCGGTTAAAGGGTGAAGCGTGTACGATTGGGTCGGTTAAGGGGGTAAAGCTTGTACGACTAGGTCGGTTAAGGGGGTAAAGCTTGTACGATTGGGTCGGTTAAGGGGTAAAGCTTGTACGATTGGGTTGGTTAAGGGGGTAAAGCTTGTATGTTTGGATCCGTTAAGGGGGTAAAGACTGTACGATTGGGTTGGTTAAGGGGGTAAAGCTTGTACGACTGGGTCGGTTAAAGATTAAGGCATATGCAGTAGGGTCGGTTAAAAGTTAAAAAGCTTAGAGATTGAGTCGCTTTTTTTTTTTTTTTTTTTCTCCCTTGCATGCACCGGTTGTAAACTCTGTCGAAAATTTATGGCTGTTCGTCCACTTTTGGACTCTAGTCATGATCCAGAGCCTGAATTTTGCCTGTACATCTGTTTTAGAAATTCGAAGCGTGTTATGCAGAATGATGGTTCCTTGCCTTTCAAGCAGATGTACTCCGACTTAAAAAAAGAAGTTCCCTATTTGTCGACTCTTACGACATGCTTTAGGTTATTTAGTGGGTCTATTCTTGTTTTCCCCTCAATAGGGCACCGGAACCCACACAGTGATATTGAGTTGTATAAGGCTAAAGCTCATCCTCATGCGGGGATCGTTTTGCCAAATGAAAGGTCAATCAATCAAGTGTCGTTTACCAATAAAGACTCTCTGCTATGGATCTTTTCCATTTTCTGCTTATCGCTATGGTTGTAACCGGATACAGTTGATCCCCCACAACTTGATGCCATTAAATACAAAAACTAAAAGCACCAATTAATCAGACTGCCCCAGCACCGTCTGTATTGGAATTCTGAGCTGGCTGCTGAAGATGGGGACGGGGCGTTTCCAAGAATGTCCCAACTGCTGTTATGTATGTTTTCAACATTTCTCATTGCAGCTGTGGATACATTTTTTTGTCCCGCATCGCAGGCTGCCATATCTTGTCTCTTTACATTTTCCTCTCTGTACGTGTTATAATAAGATCTTCCTGGCACACAGGACAGAGACGATGAACATCAACACACGGATGGAGAGAAAATGGAGAATATCTAAATCAGCTCAGGAGTATAGAATTTTCATTTCATATAAAATTCCCAAGTTCTTTGCACCAGAGTGTGCAATGTCTGCTTGTTGAAAAAAGGGAAATTTTGATGAGATGAAATTGGATTTTATGAAGGGCTGCAGAATTTGTTAAAGATCTAGCAAGAAATTATATGACGTGTCTCTCAGTTGTAGATTGTTCTCTTTTTTTTTATTTTTTTATGCGGGATGTGGGCGTTAAAAAAATGGGGGTGGGGGGGGGGGGGGGGTAATTCAAAATGAATCTTTTTTGGAATACCATGTGTAATTAAAGCGGCGTCCGTGGCTTAGGCGTTGCGAGTCCTACTCGTAATTCCCACGTACCGCGATCGAAACCCACTGCTGGCTGCGTGGATTTTTATCATGGTATGGAGCGTCGCAGGTCGACCTAGCCTTAAATGGGTACAAGGATGTATGTCCTGGGGAAGTAAAGACGGCCGGCGTAATGCCGACCCCATTACCCAACTTGTGCCGATTAGTCTGTAAAAAATATGGGTGCTCTTCTAATACGCCCGTCAGATTAAAACGTTAAAAGGGATTTTTTTTTCTACTTGTTTGCGTAATTTTTTAAAAAAAATCTATTCATCTCAGTTTTATCTCGTGTATAGTTTCTAATGGCCATGACCTTGTAGTGAGGTGCAGCTTGAGAGCATCACTAGTCCAGAGCGTTGTTGTTGACAGGGTCACCCCAGCATGACAGGTCATTGGTGAGGGGTCTAAAGATGGCCTTCTGGTCCTCCAGGCTTGGAAGTTGGGCGCATTGTTAACAGCTCTTTCCTGTAAAAACTACAACGTTACTGAAACTTCTAGAGGAAATAAATGCTCTAAACATCCGGCGGTCTTGGGTCAGAGTCCTTCTGTCAGCATGAACAACATGGGTGAAAGACAAAAGAAAGTCCATGATGAGAAAACAAGTTTACTGGACATCAAAACCAAATTAGGAAATGGTTTCTGAAATGTAAGAACCATGTCTGAAACGGCCAATTAAAGAAATGCAGAATTATAAACTGCATGTTCTGGGAATCAGTGAAAGCAGGTGGACATGTTTTGGACAATCCACGACGGGTACAGGAGAAACCATAATAAATTCTGGATGATAACCCCAAAAAAAGATGGAAATGGCTTGGTCATGTCATGTGGTATCACCTGTTCCCCTCCCCTACCCCCTTTTTTAATTGAACATGACACAGCGCGACCGGCCATTGCAAGCAGAGTGGTGGCACGTCAGCACCTGGCACCTTTAGCACCTGATTTGAGTAGCACTTGACCGCATACATGACTACTCACGTAGCCCAATTGCTAGATGCTTGCACGTCGGTCTGAAGGATTTGAATTCGATTCCACATGCATGACGGGTGAACGATTGGCTAGACTTTCTAGGTCATTCAGTGCAAAATTAGCAAAGTGAAGAGTTCTGAAGGAAAAGCGGTCGAATTGATCTTGACTATGCCAACCACCTGGTTGTTACAAATATGAGCTTTGTACCACATTCCGATTCTCATTTGGGTCCCATTATGGGAGATGGAACGGGGCCGGGAGAAGAGACCCACTGCCCCTTAACTAATATCGTAAATGTCGACTACTTAGGGGTGCTTCTTTCGAAGTCGAGGAGCGGCTGGCCGAATGGTTAAGAACGCTGGGCTGTCATGCGGAAGACCCAGAATCGAATCTTCGGTAAAGTTGTGGATTAGTTTCTGTCGGAGGCAAACGTAACATTCTAACTATACAGTGGGGGGGGGGGGTGTATAACTAAAACTATACGCTTTAAATCTTGAAGCTCAGAGACACACTACCAGTCCCTTTTGTTTTCCTACACCGCAAAGGGGTGCATACGGGCGTTAACGGCAGTGTGTATTTTTTTTTTTTTTTTCAGTTACGGCTTCCTTAGATGCATGAGAGGCAATAAACTAACAGTCTGCAGAGAAAATAAGCTAGATCTGATAAACGGATAGATGTGCATGCAAAACTCAAGTTCTGGAACAAGACCAAAGTCCGGAAGTGGACGAACCACCAGAACTTTCTGGAATTTACAGCCGGTAAACTTTAAGAAAAAGAGGAATATTAATTATAAAACCTTTAGCAGCATTTACCAATAAGACATATGGTTTTGTATTTTCATGCATGTAATGTTATATTGTTGATATTGTCCTGTTGTCAAGAGAGACCGACATGAAACTACTGCTGACTGAGAAAGGCAAAGATGACTACATGGGCTACCTGATCCTGACGTGTACGCTAGAGCCTAAAGCGAATGAGGACAAGGAGCAGGCAAGTATTTTCATTTTATCTTTGTTCGGTTGTTCTTCCTGACATTTTGATATCTCCGGTACAATTTTTTGGAAGTATAATCAGGAACGCCGTAATCTGTTAACTACGTGATTCTCCAACACACCCCACTCCCTTTCGTCCCACCGCCACTCCTACCCCAACTAAACAAATAATTGGGAGGTGTCTACCCCTCCCCTTCCCACTCCCACATACCCCTAATAGTTTTGTGAAGAAGCTAAGCACGTATAGAATTTAAGCATGCACAGAAATGTGCCTTCTTTTTTTTTCGCCCAATTATTTCGAAGCATTGTCTTCTTTTTCTTCTTTACGTCCTCTTTTACCGCTTGAAGTGTGCGTCGAATGTCAATTTCCTCGTCTAATTTACCATCTTCAGTGAATGTTGTTCCAAGATATTTATATGTAGATGCTTATTTAATAGCATTGTCGGCTTCCAGAAACTACATTTGCAACACTCTGTTATGTTACCTGTCTCCTGCGACAAGAAAACTTGTTGCCGCAGTTGTAATTTTTACAACATCCATTTGGCAATTCTCACAAACTGATGCTAGCGTATTTGCATATCGTGCCATAAGTTATCTTCATAGATTCGACAGGACGTTCTGCAAGCAATAACTGGATCAGCTTCAACTGCTGAATTCTTGACTATGTGTGATAATGCTGTGTGATTTGTCCCAATATTACACTAGACCAACTGAACAGTGACAACAGGCCAGAGAGAACTGTCAAACAGGCCTTTTGTCTACAGCACTGTGCCCTGCCCTTATTGTCCTAGACCAGTGATCCCCCACACTGTGCGCAGCGTCGCCCCGGGGAGCCACAACCTCTTTACTGGGGCGCCGCAAAATATTGTGAAAGCTACATAATTAATTTAACCAAGACACGAATAGTCATACTTTTACTCAGGTTAGGGCGCGGTAGCAAAATTTTAATTGAAAAAAAAAGGTTCCGCTAAAGGTTAGGGAAACAATGTCCTAGACTCTTCCGAGCACGTATGGGACTTATAAGTCACCTCCGGACTCATAAACATTCAACTGCAGTTTCATGACGGAGGAAAGGAAGAGTGGTCCTCATCACTTGTGATGGACGAACGAACGACACTAGACCAGTGCTTTCCAAGTGTTGGTCCGCCGACCCCCGACACACATGCACAGTTTATGGTCATTAATGTTAGTCTTGCCTGTTTCGATTCCTGAGAAACTGATGAAAAGTGCCCAATCTTTTATTAACCCTCGTTCCATCAATTCGAGGTGTTTGGTTGGCGAGCTTGTGTGTGTATGTGTGTGGGTGTGTGTGTGTGTGTGTGAGAGAGAGAGAGAGAGAGAGAGAGAGGGGGGATGGTACTTTTATCACGCTTTTATTCATTCATGGATTGGTTCATTCATTCATTCATTGTCCTATTGTGTCATTTTGTATCACATATTCTATTTCTCCATTCCTTCTATCCTATGTAATCATATCCATATCAGAGATAGAATCCAGACTAGCACTATTGGCTTCTCTCATCAACGTTCTCTCATCAACATTCTCTCATCAACTGTTCAGTCTCAAGAGGCAAACGAAGTGCTTAGGGGTTCTTAGCAAAAGCTAAAAGTCGACGTTTGGTGCAGGTGAGCCTAGCATGTGATAACACAACAACCAGCTCAAGAATGGAGGTGGGTGCAGTCACTGTAGATTTCCGCTAGTTAGAGAACACGACATACACACACACAAACACACACGCGCGCGCGCACGCACACACACATACACACACATATCGTGATTGTAACTGACTCAGAAAGTATGTTGAGGAAGGTGAGGAGAGGCATGCTTCGTTCTGAGTGGCATACTTTGCTTCTGAGGTCACGGGTGAGGAGCATTGTCTGGATCTTTTCTCCAGGAGATCCTGGTGTGTTGGGAAATGAACCGGCGGACAGACTGGCTGGTTCTGCACAACTTGCTAGAATATTGATGCATGATAGGGCAAACTTGGTTAGGGTCCTGTAGGAAAACGTGCACAATTCGGAGGAGCAAATGGATCACCACAGTCTGGTGAGAGTGATGCAGCGGGGAGTGGCGAGGTTATCTGGCCGATCAAAGGAAAGGCTAGACGGAATCATCCTTTTGCTAGAAGTAAACCAATTCCCTCTACATCCGTAAAATGTGCATGTGTTTCTGTGTGTGAGGGCCTGTGTTCTGTGTAGGTGTGAATTGTTTCATCTATTTTGTTTATGGCAGAAGTAACAATTTCCTTAGAACTGTCTTTCATCTCCTGGTGGTAAAAAAAAAATTCTTCTTTTTTTTTTCCACACGATTTATAATTGGAGCCACAGACGGATCCAGCATTAGGCCCTAATTATCTCTCTATTCTAGCATTATTTAATATTTCAGAGTGATCGTTAGGCTGCCTGCCATACGTAGTCCTAGTAAAAAGTGATGAAATATCGGCAGTACTGACCTTTAACGAAATCATCATCATCATCATCATGTAAAAAGTCTTTGTATTAGACAAAATAAACACATTTGCAGAACATCAGGGGCCTGTTTTGAAAGTGGAGAAACGTCGCAAGATAGTGGTTCAGATACGCCGTAAGCAATTATTCGATTGCAAAGGCTATATACTTCATGGAACATTGGGAGCTAGTCGAAGAAGAAAAGGGGAGGGGTGGGGAAGGGGGGGGGGGAAGAAAAACCTGAAATAACAACATCAAGAAATGGACAAGAATAAATTACTATTTTAAAAAATTACTATACATCTGTTTAACAAGTGAAAAACAAAGAAAGATAGCGACTTTAATGGGCTAGTGCTTCCACTGATACACCGCAACCACCCTAACTGGTTAGGGGTTATATTATTGAGTCAATCCTTTCAATAACGCTGCTGCCAACACAACCCACCAGAAAGAAACTGGGTCTGTAGTCAGCTTTTCCGCCTCATCCTCGTCGACTTTCCTGCCCAAGATGTCTATAATATTCTGTGACTGTTTTCGTACTGGTCAGCCCATGTGCCCTCTTTTCTGGTGCCATTACCTCTGTCTCTGTTCTATCTAAACCACAGTGGTGTTTGATATGGTCAGAATATTCAAGTTTTAGAAACAATATCTTTTTTTTCCCCAGTTCTTTGCTGACAATCGTAAGCTTTTCCTGATATATGCTTCTCATATTCCATGTTCCCAATCATTTTAAACACATAATAATATATGCGTTATAAACATGTGAAGAATGTGTAAAAAATTATGACTTCATGGCTAATTAATACTATTCTTTATTATTGCAACTGTACCAAGGCGTTTGTAGCTTAGGTGTTGCGAACGTGCTTCATAATGCCGGGGTGTTGGGTTCGATCCTATCCTGGGTTGGTTTCGACAATGGTGCCGAGAGCTGAAGCTTCAGTGGTAATGGCAAACCACTGAACGCAACAATTGCCTACAAAAACCACAACAGCCCGAAACATGCTGGGGTTGGTTCAGAAACGTCCTGTAAAGGATACGCAACTAACTTTAAGGAAGGATAATGGAAATATGCGCTGGAGTAAGAAAGAAGAATAACGAGTATTAGCATCATCATCCTATCGTGCCGTGTATACCTCACGTGGGGCTTGTATTCTCTTTCTCAGTGCAGTTCTTTTCTGTGCAATTATTTCGATACCTTGTATCGATTCCAGCCCAGAACCTTTGGGATCTCTCGTTAACGTTCTGAAAAACGGGATTTTTTCTTGACCTTGTTTTATTAGTCCGTTTATTGTCAGTTTAGCGAACTTCCGTGTTTTGGCGGCTAGATGTTTGCGGATCAGAAGATAGTGGTTTCGGGTACTGGCGGATACAAGCTTTTTTTTAAAAAAATCAGAAATGACTTTGGCTCCTAGGTCGCCCCAACCTTGATTGGATAAAAAGTATGGGAAGTAAAAGCGACCGGCATGATGTTGATCACATCACTCACTAAGTTCCAGTTGGTGTATACAACATAGGTATAACCCTATATGCTCAATGCAGCTGACGGCATAATGAAGGGCCTTTTTCTTGAATGCCAATTTCAGTTTTTGCTGAATCGCTGCTTGTCCTTAAGTTGTACCCCAATACTCTGCCAGTGTCTAGTATACGGGGATACATTTACAAGGAAGCTCATACCGTTGCATTCCCCGTGTGGGCTCCAGGGCCCTATTCATGGTAAAGATAAGAATAGACTCAGTGTTCCCACAACAAGTATGTCGTAAAAGGCGACTTATTGGGGGTGTTTCCTTCAAAGTCGAAGTGCATCTGCCTGAGAGGCCAGAAACCCACAGTCTGCATACAAATAAGCAGGAACTGTAAAACGGATGTGAGCGTAAGACTCAAATTCAATGTCCACTCGTGGACGAACAACCGGAATTTTCCATCTGAGTGTACAACCGATGAATGAAAAAAAAAAATTCAATCGAATGCACTGATATTTAGAAACATTGGCAGTAAATAGATGTTAATGATCATTAACTTTCGTTTTGTCCTGATTATTAGTTCAAAATGTTGTTCGTCCATCACAAATGATGAGAAGCGCTTGACACCCCCCCCCCCCCTCCCAGTCCCTGATGTTCCTCTTAAGTGAGTGAGTGACATCCAACCACACAGGCAGCGATAAACACCCGGCGACCCAAAGTGTCACCATTCGGATGATAATCACCAGGCACAAGTCCCAGAAACCCCGTTCAACCGTTAGGTTAAATTAGTGCCCCTGACGACAGCCGAGTGGGGAGGGAAGGGGGCTTTGAAATGCATCTCTCTCTCACTTTTTCTCTCTCTCTTTCTCTCTTTCTCTCTCTCTCTTTCTCTCTCTCTCTATCTCTATATCTCTATCTATATCTCTATCTATCTATCTATCTATCTATCTATCTATCTATCTATCTATCTATCTATCTATCTATCTATCTATCTATCTATCTATCTATCTATCTATCTATCTATCTATCTATCTATCTATCTATCTATCTATCTATCTATCTATCTATCTATCTATCTATCTATCTATCT